TGATAAGGTCCTTGGGGAAGCTCGCTGACATCTTGGAGCAGGAGAGCACCGTGAGATCCTGAACATCCCCAGGGCATCCAAACAACCTTGAAGGAAGATGTGGTCTGAAAAGATCATCCTAATCAGACTGACAGCCCTGAGGGCTGCGACCACGCCTTTGACCTCCTCCTTTACCTGCTGCAAAATTCATGTCATTCTATTACTGTAGGATGAGCGCTTTGACTTTTCAACATGCATGTGTATGTTGATGTGTTTGTATTTGTAGGTTTTGTTAATGCAATGCTTTAATATTTGTCAGTGAATTTCAATGTGATATTACTGCTGCTGGATTGTGCAGTAAAATACATTGAAATTGAAGTTGCCTCTTCAGCCTCCCTCTTTAAAACCCAATCATGATTCTCAACCGGCTGTTAGTGATGACTACACGTTCACTTATTAATAAATATTTCCAAACCACTGAGGAACGGGAATGCAAACACATTAAAACAGACAAGCTGAGTAACAAGCGATTATACCCTGACCAAAAGATCTATTGAGGAAACGTAAAGCAGCAGAGGAATCGAAGCAAAGAAGGAGGAGAAGAAGAAGAAGAAGATAAGAAGAAATGAAGAAGAAAGAAGAAGAAGAAGAAGAAAAGACAAGTGCTGATGGAAAATAGAAGGGAAAGGTCAAGATGCTGATTGGAAAATAGAAGGGAAAGGTCAAGAAGGAGGAACAGATGGAGAGAAGAGAGCCACTCTGCTGAAATCGAATCATTCCCTCGAGTTGAAAGAGAAGAAGAAAGAAAAGAGAGAAAAAGAAGAAGAAGAAGAAGAGAGAAGAAGAAGAAGAAGAGAGAGAAAGAAGAAGAAGAAGAAGAAGAAGAAGAAGACAAGTGCTGATTGGAAAATAGAAGGGAAAGGTCAAGAAGGAGGAACAGATGGAGAGAAGAGAGCCACTCTGCTGAAATCGAATCATTCCCTCGAGTTTAACAAACGACCTATCTGACTCGTGTGTGTGTGTGTGTGTGTGTGTGTGTGTGTGCGTGCGTGCGTGCGTCGTGCGTGCGTGCGTGCGTGCGTGGGGCTGGGGGTGTGTGTGTGCGTGTGTGTGTGTGTGTGTGTGAGCTCACATTTGCTTCAATGGTTCATGCTTCAGGCTTAGTTTGTTTATGAAGAAATAACTGGGACTTACTCCCTCATACTGTATTTTGCCTGTACACACATAACTGCACACACACACACACACCACACACACACACACCACACACACCCACACCACACACACACACACACACACACACACACACACACACACACCCACACGCAAACAAGACAATGTAGGTATTTGCTGCAGGAATGAAACTGGATTGCTTTATTTCATGATGGTGTAATTATTAACTAAACGAGGGATCATGTTGAAAACCAGGTCGTTCACACATTCAAATACATGAAATAATTATTATTAGAGTGATTATTCATGATCATAATGTCCAAGGTCCATTGCTGCTGCCACTGGTATAAATGTATTACCACTGTTGGAAATAGAAATATGAATCTACAACACACTTAATCATTATTATTTATTTGGCAGACAAAGACAAAATGTATCTTTCTTTTTCCTTGCCTCATTCCCTCCATCTTTGTAATTATTCATATTAAGCTCTACTGAGAAATACAAAATCCTAAAGCCGCCGCGTTGAAGTGGCAACAACAGGCTCATTTTTCAAGAGAAATATAAATGGAATATTCAATCATTCAGACTACCCATTTAAAACATAAAAAATGATGTTTAAATCAAAGAGGTTTCAAGCTTTAAAGAGTCCTAAACAGTAACACCATTTCAATATAAATATAATTCACATGTGACATTCATAAATGTTGAGGGGTTTCTGTTAAATACAGAAATAACCTTTCCTTCATGATATGAGCTGTAAATATCTGACTATCTTCTGACAGATTTTCATGATGCATATTAAACAGCACAACAGTGATGATCTCTGCTTCTCACCCACTTACTCCCTCTTGTGATCTGATGCTATTCCTGTAGAGCAGCGCTGAGTCAAAAAAGTCCTGCAGGAAAAAACACTGGTTTTACATGCAACATGCACAAACAGGCGAGATGATACAGCCGACAGCAGTCTGGACACATTTCACACAGCTGCACTTAGAAAAATAGTGGAAGAATAATATATATATATATATATATATACAGTATGCTGTAGTTGGTCGAGGTGGAGCTTATTTTGAACTATTATGATTATTTGCACTATGCATTCATCTGCTCATTCTTCTCTCCACTTATCAATTGACTGTTTTTAAAAAAACACTCAAAATAGTGAGGACGGCTGGCACATTTATCCAGAGTCCAGAGTTACCACTTTCCCACTGAAATGAGTTCTGTGCTTGCTCTGTGCTTGTTTGGTTCGCAATTGGTTTGCAAGTTGAACAAACTTTGAACCAGTTTGCTTCCCACTGACCAGAGCCCAGTAAGCCACAAAATAATGTCACCGTTTACGTTGCTGATTCTTTCAACAACTCCAGCTTGTGGGAACATACATTCGTGTTCTTACTGATGATGTCTAAATTACATACATATTTTATATAGTGCTCACATCATGGCTGCAGGATAACAATTACCAATTACAGTTTTACGAAAAAGATTGTTACATTTAGTTGACTATTCTTTGAGTGGCATTAGTACTTATACTTAATTCACTACTGATTATTTATGGTGGAATGTCACTGTGAGAAAATAGGGACAAACAATTTCTATCTTTGTCTAAATGATATTTTTGTCATATATTTACCAGCTAAACAAACGTTGAAAATATTCCTCTCCACACTCTATGTTTCCATAGTTACACACTGACACTCTCCAACTGTTACTGTGTTAGTGTGAATGTAAAACATGGACAGAAATGGCACTTAAGTTGATTGCTACTGTTTAACCACAGACAATGGTCAGTTATGTCCTTAGTTATGATGACCTCAGAAGCAATGCAGACAAGAGCAAGCTCTCAGTTTTAGTATTACTTGACTTAAGCGCTGCTTTTGATACAGTAGATCAGTGATTCTCAAACCTTTTTCAATATGTACCCCCTTTGAAAAAAAAATTCAGCCAAGTAACCCCCCTGATCAGCGCAAAAAACAATTTGTTAGGGAAAAAATGCCTATTGTACCGATGGTACAAAAACAGCGCTGCACCATCGGTGTCTGATTTATTAAAACAACAACCTTGTACTGAGAAACACTTAAATGCTACATTTCAAATGTTTACAATCCATCACTAAATTCATGGCAAACCAATTTTAACATCATGCAATAACACTGAGACGACATTAGTTGCATTGAACTGATCTTTTAATAAGTTGTACTTACAATTTAGTGAGAAAACATGAGCTTGTGCTTCACTGAGGATATTTGTCATTCTCAGTGACAGGAAGGCCACTGCAGTTATTACACTTCGCTTTTGAAATATGTGTAACTCTGTTAATATAAAACCCACACTGCTCAAACTTTCGTTACTTTTCATTAACATAAAATAAATCTCACGTACCCCCTGCAGTACTCCAACGTACCCCTAGGGGTCCGCGTACCCCCATTTGAGAACCACTGCAGTAGATCATACAATTATTTAAGTAGACTGCACCATCTTGTTGGCATTTCTGGTATGGTTTTTAATTGGCTTACATCTACCTAACTGATAGACCGTTTTTTTATACACATGGATGAATGGTCATCTAAAGAATATCCATTGAATTGGTGTTCCCCAAGGCTCAGTTTTAGGTCCTACATTCTTTTATACATGTTCCACTTGGAAATGTCATCAGGAAAACAAGGCACATGATGACTCAGGACCAATTGATGCCATTTTTAACTGTATTTTAGATATTAAGCATTAGATGGCTGTGCATTTTCCTTAGCTCAACCAGGTCCAAACTGAGCTCTTAATTATTTGTATACACTTTTTCAGCCAGTTCCGGACCTACCTGTCGCTTTTTTCCCTTGTTTGGCCAGGTCTGGAGAGAATGTGTTTTTTCACTGTTTTGACCAGGTCTGGACCTGTAGTTCTTTCCCTTTTTCGGTGAGGTATGGATCTGTTGTGTTTTTTACTTTTACAGCAAGGTCCAGAAAAGTCCTTCTTTTCCCTTTTCCGACAGGTCTGGATGTGTCACTTATTTTGCCCGGTTGTTTATTTCCACCATTTTTACACTGTCTGTCCTGATTTTTTCCCGATGTTTTGACCGGGTCTGGATCTGTCGTTTTTTGCACCCGTCCAACAGGACAGAACCTGCCCCTTTTTTCTTTTTTTTTTAAACAACATCTGAAATAAAACTCCGGCCGGGAGTGTCGAAAAAGTGAAGGAAAAAAGCATGTAGCCTATTTCTTATTCATCTTTAATGAAGACTTTTCCAAGAAATTCAATTTAGTTTTTATCAGTAAAAATCGGTTTGCTTTACAAACAGCGCCATCCTTAGGAAAAAAGATTCATAACAAAAACATTGTGCAACTGAACTAAAAATAGCTCTAATCACTTTTATACTCTTACGGACTGTCCACACAGCAGCGTTAAAAAAATCTTGGAGGCGGGCGTATCTGAAGCTTGGGGATTTTTTGCGAGCAAGGCACCACCAACCAATCACATGAATCTCCCGCCCCCGACATACGAAGCAAAAAAGTTTGAAGTAAACTGGATATAAACTCCCCAAACAGGCGAAAACATACCACTGTCTCTGCCACCTCCCTCCATGCCTGGCTCCTCCGGTTTGTATCCCGGTAGGTAAATAGGGTCTGGTCATAAAGCACCGGGTGATTGATTCGCTACCGTTAATTTCTCCTCCATTTTTTGGAATATGAGGAAATGACCTGCGGTATGTCTCTCCCAGCATACACGCGGTTTGATTGGCTAGCGCTTGAACTGTCAGATTTGCATACACAGGATTTGATTGGCTGACGCTTCCACCTCAGCTTCAAAAGTTGAACATTGCTCAACTTTGAATCCTGAAAATCCTGAAAATCTCCGCTCGCCTGCCCACAATGCAGTTCGGCGAAAAGTGAGGCAAAGTGACGTCACCCCATTCAAAGTGAATGGGCAGAAGCGTTTCAAGATTTTTTAACGCTGCTGTGTGGACGGGCCGTTACTCCACTACCCTTATTTTACAATGTTTTTACATTTGCAGTTTTCGATTATTAGTACATAATACCAATCAAATACATAATTGATGATGTATTGTTACAGATTAACCTACCAAGCAGTATAATTACTCAAATGTAGCTCCACATTTCAGCAAAATTCATTTGATGCACATATTTATTCAACAATAAATATAAGAAAGTTATATAAAGGCCATTCTACATACTGATGTACTTAAGTTTTTGGACCCTAAGTATAGTTTGATAATGCTTTGTTCTTTTACTAAAGTAAACATTTGAATGCAGCAGGACTTGTAACAAAGTATTTCTTTACTGTTAAAGTCAAATATCTGAATTCCACCATTGCCGCTCAGATAATGAAGGCTTATAATTCATTGTGTTAAACTCTGTTGGAAGTTTGAAACATTTCAGCAGGATTGAGGCAGAAGACTTGATCTCCACAGTGTCATCCCTCCTCTGCTAACAGCGACCTGAAGTTCTTCAGCTCTCTGATGCTTGTAGAAACCCTGCAGGACATTTGTGTTACACAAAGAACAGACATTTACATTTGGTTGCATATATTCTCACTTCAATTGACTCAAGTTTACTCTGAGGATTACATGTGAAAATGTAATGCGACAACCTTCCAAAGGCGTTGAGCAGGGAGACGACCTCCTGTCGACTGAGCTGGAAGCTGGGTCGCTGGACGCTGGACGTGGGAAGCGCTTCAATTTGCCGCTCGGAAAACAAAATCTTTAGAGATGTTCCTAATCCCTGAGTCTGATTACGGGAGTGAGGCAAGGGAGCAAATCAGAATAAAATACTTAAAATGGTTTGACAGCATATTTTACCCTCACATTATACTGAACATCATTTATACAACTGATGTAAAATGTGACCGGCCTGCAGTTTCCCCCACAGGCGACACTTGAAGCAGCCCACACAGTCCATGATCCTGGAGATGTTGAGGAAGGCCAGTCGGATGTCCTCCTGAAGGACACACAATGGATCACTTTGAGGGCCAAATGGATGTTTAACAACAAACTTCATACTAGTTTGTTTTGCAATATTTATTTTAATTTCCCCTTACTGTGTTTTACAAATATATATAATCAGACAAAGTGAAACAAATTAATGTTACTATTATTATTGAGCTACAATTTTGAGCTTGTTAACACTTAATTGAAGTAATCTGTTGGACACTTTATGCCAACCCTATGCTTTTTAGAAAAGGGTCCTCCCTTTTGTGCAGAACTAATCTTTTAAATAAGGGTCCCCCTGTTGTCCGTAGCTTTTGTTGTTGAGATCTAACTTTTACTATGTTAGAACTAACTAAGTTGGAACTAACTTTTTAGATAAGGGTCCCAGTTGCCCGAAAATCCTTTTTGCTAACTTTAGGAGTCCGCCCTGATGTCCAAACCTCACTTTTTCTTTTATAAGGGTGCCCCCTATTGGTCCAAAAATTACTATTGCTCACTTTTACTAAAAGATTCCCCCTGTCATTGAAATGCTATGTAAATGTAACCATAACTACCTCACTGACTATATCTACTAAACAAGCATGGTGGAAGGAAATAAACAGTCACACCTTTGAACTGACCAAATTGGAAGTCGACCTGATTAAATCTATAGTTTGGCAAAGTATTAAAGCTTGAAAATAGCCAAAAATACTACTTTTAAGAAGTAGTACAGTTGCAGTGGACCTGAGGTTCTGTGAGTATGTTCCAGATATATGGATCATAATAACTGAACGCTGCTTCTTCATGTTTAGTTCCGACTCTGGGGACAGAAAGCTGACCCGTCCCAGAATATTGTGCGTGGAATCTTTCACATGCTGAGTCAGTCCATAGGTAAAGTCAATACACACTACAGACAGCAGTTCAGTAAAGTCATCAAAAAAGCTGTGCACAGTATTTGGGTGGTCTATAGATATTTAGGAACAGAGCTCGAGGAGGAGCATTTTCAGCTGAAGGGCCACATGTTCAAAAGAAGCAAAGTTTCCCCATAAGATGTCTTCCTGCATTGAAGGGAGTCATTCGAAATAATATCAACTCCACCTCCCTTCTTATGCATTCATGCCTGACTAAAGACTAAAGTTGGGAGGGGTTGATTCGATAAGAACAGCTGCACTGTTATTTTGTTCAATCAAAGTTTCAGTTCAAAAACATAAAGTCGAGATTGTGCTCAGTGATAAAATCATTGATTAAAAATGTCTTTCCTGCCAAAGACCTGACATTTAATAAAGCTAGTTTAAGTTTGTTAAAAAACACTATTCGGTCAATTTTTTTGCAGCAAGCTGTGGCTGACGTGGAATCACCTATTACATTTGCTAAATTAACGCAAATGGTCGAGCGCTTTCTCTTTCTTAGCTGATTCACCGTTCTTATCTATGACCTATCAACAAAGATATGGGCAGAGCTGCTGGGCAGGCAGGGCCCAGCTTGTCCTGGAAAGAGTTGAGAGTGCCACACGCCCTGCAGCCTGCACCCAGCACATCTCAGATAGAGACTACTGCCTTTTGTACACACAGCCGAAACATCTTTAAACAGTTTTGCCATGTCGTAAAATCTGGAAATTATTGTTGCTTTATAAATGCAGTAATCTTCCCATTTGAATAAGTAATCAAACTTTAGATTACTTTATTTCTAAATGAACTATCTAGAATGTTAAATGGTTCCTTACCTTTAGTTTGGCTGCTTCCTTTTCATCCCCAGCAAACAGAGACGTCTCATCAAAGGCAAGAGGGAAAGATCTGGGGAAAGACATTTAAAGAATAAACAATCGAGTTATACAAAGATATGACATCCCCAGAAACTATACACATGAGAATTGAAGTGTCATTGGACATCATTATAGTTGCTCCCACCAGTACTTGTCAATTAAAAAAAAAAAAAAAAAGGTTTTCTTGTCTGGTATTTAAAAAGGATTATCTTACCAAACATGAAGAAAGAAGTTGGATGTGCTTTTAGTGAAATTTAAACAACACACCTTTAAATAAACAATGAAAAAATATTTATATAAAGCTCTTCCTACGTAAAATATGTAAAAACGATATATATATTCCAGAGACACAGGCACAGATCTGGAGTCAGTGCTCAGACTGGACCGGGCCAGCTGCAGGAATGTGCAGCAGCAGCTCCTTGTGTCTGCGGGTCCTCCTCCGGCCTGCCAGTAAACAGCCTGAAGGACGGCTTGCTGGAAGAAGGCAGAGCTTTGGCCAGCGCTCGCAGCTCGATCAGGCACAGAAGTAGAGGTTGCGGGAGCCTCTTGGGGCCCTCGCCGTCTGTCAGCTCGAATCAAGCGCTGCCTGAACTCCGACCGTGTTTGCACCCCCACTTTCTTTCCTGAAACCAGCTGTCTGAAGGAAGGAAGAATCAGAGAGAGGGTGTTAGGATTCACGGCTGGGAAATACTGTAGCTCTTAACTGCATCATTATTTTATTCCAGCTATTTTTCAAGATCATTCTGTCATTCTCAAAGAATAACAGTATAAATACATACACTCTTTCTGTCTTCCTGTCCTGCACTTGACTTAGGAGGACATGAATGACTGAGTGAATCAGTGAGGGGTTTGTGAAAGTGCTAATGTGTCTCACCTTCTAAGAGGTATCTGGCACTCAGGTGTATGTTGATGCTGGAATGGAGCCAGAGATGAGCCGGGTAGAAAAGCCCTCTTCTCTACACACTGACCTGAGGGACACAAACACAGAGGTTGACAAATAGAAATGGACAAAAAAACCTCTTTTCTCTTTTCAGGTGAAATGTCAGCTCACCTTCCAGGCCAGCTGTAGAAAAGTATTTGCTGGAAATAGAGAAACAAAATGTTGTTGTCATACACAAGTGAAAGTAAAAGGTTGGTTTTTGAATTTAGAGTTAGGAGCTCTTACATTCACTTCCTGGGCTGCTATGGAAGAGGTTGGAAAGGACCGGTCGCTTGATCGTATACGGCCCTGTGAAGACAAAGTAAAGGGAAGAAAACTATGACTCCAGTATTTAAGAAGTAGTACACGCACAAAGTATGGTGAGTTATGTGTTTTTGATCACATTCAAACTTGCTATTAGCCATGCTATACTGTAGCTGTGGCGGAAGTATTCAGATTGTTACTTGAGTAAAAGTACCAACACTGCACTCAATGCATAACAAATACAAGTCCTCGATTCAAAGCCTTAACTATGTTAAATTATGCATTATCAGCAATATTACTTGAGTAGGGATAAGTAAAAGTATCATTGTGCAGGAAAGTTCCTTGTCATTCATTTACTATTATTCATGCTTCTCAGACTGCAGGTAGTATGCTCCTGTTGTAGATGTTTAAGGCTTATTTTATATCATTGTTTTACTGAAGGGGATTTAATCTTCATAAATGCCTCATATCTTTGTGGCTTGGTCGCTGTCATGTCAGAATCATGCATCTCTTAAAAGTCAACTTTCATTTATTTTCAATTGCTTGACAGCCCTGTTTTCAGTTTTGTTACGCTGCAGTTTCCAAAGCTGACCCAAAAGGGGTTTTCAAACAGTTTACTTAGCTGAAGAACTAGAAACAAATCTTTTCAGCACATAAGGAACAATTCTTCCTTCAGTTATCTTAATCTTAAACAATGGGAATCAAACACATCTGAAGATCTGTTTTTTTCTATAGTGGTGAGTGTTTACTTGAAGAGAGCAGTTCTCCTCATAGATGCTGTCTCCAGATCTGCCAGGGCCTCCGGTCCTCTGTAGCCTGTGAAGCGCTCAGGGGTTCAGCAGCAGGTTCCACATTACTGAGAGTCTGGAGACTCCTCGTCTGGAGAACATCAACACACAGTCTGCTGTTAATCACTATGACAACCTCTCTTTATCAAGTGTGTACCAACAGTAGAGGATTTTCACACTAGGAGACCCTACAGTATGTAGCGCTATGATGATCCAGGAAGGTTGGGCGTTGAGAAATGTACTGTATATATAAATAATTTGTGTTTCATTACATTTTCCTACTAATTATACATTAATTGGAGTTATATATGCCTTATAATTCCTTATGCTAGGTTTTTAAAAACTGTTCTTCTCTAATAGTAAGCTCAATTCCCATTCACATTCATAAGTAATCATTCCATTTATATTTCAAAAAGCATGTATTTCATCATCATTATGTTTCCTATGGGAACGTTTTTTAAAGTATGGATTTTTTTATCAGATTCCCCATAAATGATCTACATTTTATATTTTCAAGTATTTACATTATTTTAGTTAGTTTTACCTTAATATTCCCTAATTGTTTTTATTTTGTATCTTACCAGAACCATTATGTTTTTTGATCCTAAAGACACAAGGTGGAGGAATCTTTCTGTTTATAAACCTGAAAGGCAAATGCCAAATCAGCAGTTGTGTGTTTTTTCATTTGTGGTTTACTATACTATGGGATCTCGTGTTAGTGTACTTAATCAAAGACAAGAATTGATTGTGTTTTTGTTTTTGTTAGTTCATTCAGTCGTTTGCTCAGCGGATGGGTTGAACACATACCATCGACAACGCAGAAGCGCTCTGCCTCGTCGTCGTGTTTGCTCCAGTTTAGCAGAGCTTCTCTGGTCTCCTTACTGGAGGTGAAACAGACAAGTATGTCGGTTTCAACTTTCTATTATATTATATTACAGAAACATTTCATATGAGCCTGCACTTTTAAAGTATTATTGTGTGTATTAACGTTAATGTTTGCCCGGTAATCTGATATTATCTCTACTCACCTTAAAGAAATATCTACAGCTCCGAGGTTCTCCGCCAGCTCACACTTTACCGGCTGCTCCTTATCTTCTGCTGAATACTGAAAACAAAAACAATAGATAGTATTACATTAAAAAAAGTATGTTATAATTAAATGTGTTAAGTGTACTGTTTGGGTAGGATGCAGCAATTTCCTTAATCCAAGAAGATTTGACGAAGTAACCATAATTAGTTACTCATTTTAATAACCAAATTAAATTCATAAAAATGTGTTTTTTCTTCATATCCCAAATAAATGTTAAAAGACCTCAAGATATATAGCAATTATTACAGCCCAGTTGGTAAGTAATTATAATACCAACATTATTATGTTATAATGCAACATCTTTGAACAAAGGCATACATTAACACCGTAACGCCAGTATTTGGTGTTATTATCCCAAAATGTGTTAAAATACCCTCCAAAGTAGTTATTCTTTAAATTCTATAAATCAGTTTCACGATTTGGAAATGTAGGGGTGCTAATGTGCACTATAGAGAAATGTTTTTCATCAAATATGTTTAATGATGATCTTTTTCAAAAAGGTTTTTACTGTGGGCTGCTCTGCTGACGGAGACAAAGCTGGTCCTGACTGACTCACCTTGTTGTGTGATCTGATCCCCTCTGGCACTTCGTTCTGTGGACACACACACATGTTAGTGAATCTGATGTAAACACAGGTGAGTGTTTTGTTTACAGCAGGTAGGAGTGATGAGGGTGGGACTCACAGGAGAGCAGGGCTTCACAGCGCAGTCCTTCAGACCACAGTGACTGCTGGACGACCAGAACGGACACGCCTTGTTCAGGTTCACCTGCAGTGTCCCAGGACGAAGCAACACACAGGTTAATCTGTGTATGTGTGTGTGATGTGGGCTCTGCATGTGTGTGTGTGTGTGTGTGTATGTGGTGTGTGTGTGTGGTGTGTGTGTGTGTGTGGTGTGTGTGTGTGTGTCAGGTCGCCTTACCTTGTAGAACCTGAAATAGTCAGACTCCAGAAGAGTTTGAAGTTTGGAGAAGAGCTGGTTGTTGTTAAAGCCGTCGATGGTCTCCACATCACAAGTACAGTCGTCCAGATCTCCTGTGAGCTTCGTTGGATGAAAACAAAAATCAAACTAAGTTTTCTTTATTTAGTTTCTTGCTGCTTAAGATTTGTTTTACTAAGCTTTTTTTTTTTTAAATAATGTCTCTACCTCAATGCTCAGCATACAGCTGCTTATGAGATCTTCTACTTGAATAATAGTAGCAACACCGCAATACCAATGAATGACTCATTTTCAAAACATATACTTGTGGCAGCTGGAAAATCTGACACAATACAATGATTAACACTCAAATGCATTTCTTATTACACTGAAAACACGGAAACGTTGACTTAAATTGAACGTTTTATGTATACAAATTTCACATAACTGTATAAGGTTAATTGAAAGCAAAAATATTAAGTTGAACCTGATAATTTTTATTTAAACATAATATTATTGCTTTCAAGGAAACCAAATATAGTTATGTGAAATGTGCTGACATGATCACTTTAATTAAAATCAACCTTTCAGTTTTTTCAGTGTATAATCCATAAATATAATTGAATGTATTATCCCGAGAAAATACCCTTTGTGCCTAGTGAGTTTTTTTGTTTTGGTTATTAAGTATTGTTTGATGCATTGCTTACACGTTTGTCCTTTTGGATAAGTAACTAAATGAATGCAGGGTTTCACTTGTAACAGAGTATTTCTACACTGTGGTATTACTACTATTACTTTAGTAAAATATCGTAGTACTTCTTCCACTTCTGTTTGAAGAGTGTAAAATAACATTACTCGGAGCTCCATGCAGGATATTACTCTGTGTGACAGCTCTCACCTGGACAGAAGCACCTGCTGTCTGCACATCCGGACACCTGGAGGAGGAGCACGAGGACCACCAGCTTCATGACGACCTCCGCCCTCAATCTACACCACCCCTGTCTGTCTGTGTGTGGAAAGCTGCACTTCTGTAGTTTAACTGGAGACCAAGGGAGGAGGAGGAGGCGATCTGATGTCAAGTTGTGCTTCCTGGTATTTCCTCATTTCCACCCCGCTAGTGTAATACATGACAGGAATGATCGGCAGTCGTTTATTCCCACAGTGTGATCGCATTTAGACACATGTTGCACACAAATAGTCTCTAGGCTCTTTTAATTTTTAAACTGGAAGTGAATATTCTTCCTGTTCGCTCACAAAACAATCCGACTGAAACCTTATGTCCAAAATAAATAGCCCACTTTTCCCATGTACTATATTACACTTTAATATAATACGCACCCGTGCGTATTATTGCTATGTAGGCCTATAGCAAAAAACACAGCCACAAATATATTCTTAATTTGATAATATACAATTGTTTTAGAACATTGAAACAAACAATTAGGTATTTTCCAAGCTGATCTATGACATTATATCAAGGCAGGATGTGATTTAATTTATAAAATAAGAAAATAAATAAAAAAGGTAACACACGTGCTAATAACTTAACTTAATACCGTTTTTTCCTGTGTTTTTAATGGGCATTTTTGTGTTTTACATGCAGTTTAGTTTAAAATTGGTGACGTCTCTAAGTTGTAATACCAGACACCAACCACACGGTGGAGGGTAAAGAGCATTTATTTATTTAACCTTACACTTAAAGGGACATGCCGTTCAAATGAGATGAACACAGGGCCATTGGTTTAGAATATGTTGCATTGCTGTACAACCCAAAATAAATACAGCTGTACTATTAATCAAAAAACCTCATATACGTATATATATATATATATATATATATATATATATATATATATATATATATATATATATATACACACACTGTCAGGAAATGTTTTACTGCACAATGAATACTTTCTTACCTAAAGACAATTGTGCCCATGTTACATGTGCCCTACTTTCACATAAATACGAGTTGATTGTTATTTGTATTGAACTGTGGTGGAAGAAGTATCTTCAAACCTTTGACTTAGGTACAAATAGCAAAACAATGTAGTAAAAATAAACTCTGTTTCAAGTCAAAGTAATGCAAAATTCTACTTGAGTATACTTAAAGTACCAACAAATATATGCAAAAATTCATTATGGAGAAACATTTATTAATTAATTAATCCATTTGTGAGCTTAACTTGAATTTTCTAACAGAACAGTTGGTTGAATTAATATTATATATTTTTTTGAAATTATATGTTGCCATTTAAAATCTGAAAATAAACTTGTAATTGTAACACATATCTTTAAATGTATTTAGTGGAGAGTAAAAAGTAATATTTGCATACAAGACTACAATTAATATACCCAAGTAAAGAACGAATAGGCAACCTCTCTTTCTCTCATTGTACATGTATAATGACATTAAACGATTCTAGTTCTATTCTTACATGTTACACCACTGTTAGCAAGTTACACCACTGTTACAAGTAACTCACTTGAACCAAACACATTCTTGTGAACGGAGATGTATGTTTACCAATCAGCTTCATGTCAATTTGGATTTATTTGAAATATTTTAATATTTGTTCTTGTTTTAATGAGTTTGAGTTGTTAGTATAGTGCTCGATCTCTCTCTCGTACTACGCTCTCTATATATCTCTCTCTATCTCTCTCTCTCTCTCTCTCTCTCTCTCGTCTCTCTCTCTCCTCTCTCTCTCTCTCTCTCTCTCCTTCTCTCTCTCTCTCTCTCTCTCCTCTCTCTCTCTCTCTCTCTCTCTCTATTTTGGTGCTTCCTCGCGCTGCCAAGCCCCTGACGTAATGCTCCGCTGTTAATGATTAGCATGTGGAAACGAGCAGCGCGAGCCTCCCTCCATCAAGGCTGCCAAAACGCAGCCGGAAGTTGACTGATCCTGCCTTCAAAATAATTGCACGTGGCAATTTACGTTTACGTTAGTGCAAGAAGTTCCTAGATTCTATGCAACAGTTTAGAAATCTTTGATACAAATAAAAGCCCTGCTTTCAAAATGTTATTTATATCAAGGTACAAAAATAGTAAAGCTTAGTAAAATAGTACCAACATTGAACATACTCTTTATGCAGGAGGGCCCATGTAAGAACAATTATTATCATTTACAGATTAATGTTCGTATCGCATATTATATATTAATACATTTTATTTGTGGATGTATATTATGTATATTTAATGTTGCTACAGGCAAATTTGGAAGTAATTTGAATTCATATTGCTTCACATAATGCTGTGAGAAGCTTCATTTTATAGGAATATTTATTGACAATATTTTTGTGGTAATAATCACAAGAAGAAAATAAATATAATGCAAAAAATTGGGTTTATTTTCCAACATTGTTGACTCCATGTATTCCTTTTGTTTGGTATAACCATAACATGTATGGTACACTGTTAAAAACGTCAACGTGTTTTTTCTCAAGTCTTATATATTTTTAAGAAATACTTAAAGTGAGCACTGTCAAGGTGAGAACACCTTTAAATAATTTTGTTTTGTTATTGATCATTAGGCTACCCAATACGAAGCTTAGTAATAACCATACCGTACGGTTAAACCTATTTCTATGCATTTTGGCCTCATTTATTGGCCTCTCTACATATGTGCACTCTTTTCACACAATGTTCTCAAGGAATAAACAGAATTATGTTACCTTTAACAAACTACTGCAGCCTAATCAAATGGGAGGAGTAAACATACAATTATAAGTCCTAATGGATAATATACGCAACGAAAACAAAATGACATGGTTGTAGCAGTTGCTCTCAATTAAGTACAATTAATATTTACTGTAGAAAATTGTTAATCTTCGTCGCACTGCAGTACTTTATTTTGAAAGCTTTAACCGGAAGTCATGAACGGCTGCCTTCCATCTGACAGTGGTGCTTTACACCAGAGCAGCCGAGCAGAGCAGCCCGTCTGCTGGGGAGAGACAGAGGAAAAGTTAGTCAAGATGGCAAACCTCACAGACCCGGAGTGAAGGGGCACCGCTCCCCGAAAAAAAGCTGATCCTGTCGCCCACAACAATGCGAACTGCTGCAGGAGGTAAGGACCATAGAGCTCGGTTAACCGTTTTCACCAAAATTCAAATATTCAAGTTGAAGTTTCTAAAAAAAAGACTTTGTTTTGTTCACTCTTCTTTTCGGTCCAGTATTTATTCAAGAAAATACTAACGCACGTAACCCTTGCTATCTATCAGAACCAGACTTTGTGGGAACACCTTTTCTCGTTTTAGTTAGTGGCAATGGTTAATGTTATTTCGTAGCCGTTTATTTTAGTGTTTGGAAATATAACTTTGCTTACGTTAACTTATGTTAAAGTTACACGGTTCTTCCATGGGACAAAGCTTGATACACAAACGGATAGGGGGATATTCGGTATTTTTACAAACTGCTCACACACACATCTCCGCCAACGGTCGTTCTTGTGTGCTGATGAAGCAAAGTGACAGTTTTAGACAGCGGCTAACGCTCAGTCTGCTCCTAGCTTTCTCTTCGATGTTTCTTCTCTTCTGGCATAAACTCACCACTACCGCCAGCCCTCGGTCTGAAACACGTCTTTATGAGACTAACCTGTCATTAAAATAACGGAGGGAAGTTGCCGCTTACGTCTCTACAGCAGAAAAAGCTCTGCCACCGGCCACCGTCGGTAACCCGGCGTCCTTCCCTCGGAAAATTCCGGGATGCAGCGCCAGTAGTACCGACAGCTGTATTTTTAGGAATGGGTGGATACCAAAAACAAAAATTATTTATTTTTGTCTCGGCGGTGAATGCCACAAGCCTATGCGCAAGGCGATGGCGAGGAGGCGACCTATAAATGCTGTACGAGTTTTTGAAGGCTGTTTTTTCCTATTCCAGCAGCACAAAGTCTGCAGAGCTGAAGCAACAGGGACACTGTCGCATTTCTAGTGAGGCTGTCTTCTCTAGTCTAGTGCACTGTAAAAGTCATAGCATGTGTAGAGGGAGAGGCATGTACAAGGAGCCATAAGAGAGCATTTTCTGTTAAAAAAATGTTTTTTCAATCCTCCACTAACTTCCAACATCCTCCTGCAGGCTTAAGAGGGATTCCCTGAAGAAAAATGCCAGCGAGGCTGAAGCTGATGTGACACAGCTTGTGCTGGAAGAAAGCTGACTCATCAAATATCAATCCCTCTGGGAGCTACTAAGCAGCAGTGCAGCTCATATCTCCTAATGCCTAGCTAGAAGAGATCTTCACACACACACACTCCCCTACCACCAGCGGAGATTATCAGAGAGGAGAAGACGTTGCAGAAACCCCCTCCAGCAGGAATATATCCAACACCGGTTGAAACACATTTGAACACCAGAAAGCATAACAGTGACTGCTGTCCTAGCTGCCAACAAAGCTTTAGTATGGCATCACAGTGCTTCAGCTGAACTGACTCCCTGTGTATAGAAACATCAAGAATCAGCTGATAAGACTACCATCATTCTACGTCACTGTTACTACAAACCATCAGTGTAAAGTTTGGGTAAGGTCGTTCCTCCTAACCACCAAAGTCATCCGGCCTTTTCCCCGCCCAGCAGACCATGATGTTTCGCGATCAGGTGGGCGTGCTAGCCAGCTGGTTCAAAGGGTGGAATGAGTGCGAGCAGACAGTGGCTCTGCTGTCCCTGCTGAAGAGGGTGAGCCGGACCCAGGCCCGCTTCCTGCAGCTCTGTCTGGAGCACTCCCTCGCCGAGTGCACTGAACTGCAGGTCCTGGAGGCAGAGGCCAACAACCCAGGTAGGACAACCATCTGCTTAGACACCGTCAGCTGCTACATCATCCACTAGGATATGATGGAGATGCATTTACAGCCATTGACAGACCAGATGTATTCATTCATTCCTCAGACTGAATTGATATCCTTATATTTGTCTTATTATGAGGGTAGGGACTATAATATAATACATCTACATTGGCAAAAAAACTATTCTAAGATTGTTTTTAAACGTATTTCTGACGGGACAGATGAGAATATAGCAACTTTCCCCCTTTGGTCTTCAATCACTATATCTCCTTTACTTTTGTAGTTGATCTTTTTCTTTATTCATTGTTCATGTTGTAGTTGATGTCACACTCCTGGTACAGGCGACATTCATTTTCTGATAAGAAAGAGTGAAAGGAGACACATTTTTAGAACTCTTATTACTTTTTGACCAAACCTTTATTAATGCAAAGGGCTTTGAAGGCCATAATATCCCAGATGACTGTCCAAAACACTAGTGACTAGCTGAATCACTGTCAGTCAGTCAGTCAGTGTGCCAGCCTATAGCACTGTAGCTCTCTCTAGGTTGGTATCACGCCAAGGCACCCAAGGGGGGTTCTGGCTGGGATTTGTTGCATTAGACTGCAGCGTGGCCATGGAAACAAAAACCCTGGCAACCAACTGGGCTCATGAAAAATAGAAAGAAAAGCTGCTGCGATGGAGAGCAGGCGTCTGTGCGTACCTATGGCAACATCTGCATGCAGTAACACATCTGCTGGCTCACACTGAGGGTGACATAATGGCCCAGCCTCGCAGTGACACTCGCACATATTACACAGAGTTTCCATCAGGATTTACAATGGGCAGTGGCTGCACTTAATGCTGGCCGGTCTTTGTTATTGTTTAATATATGAAGCCGGATACATCAAAGCACACAACATGAAGTTCTCCTCAGTCGACCCCTCCCAAAGTCAGGCTGGTTCATACTGTCGGAGAGATCAAAGCATGGGGAGGCGGTGGGGGGGTGATGTCTCCTTACAACAGGTTTTTTATCTCTTTTTTTAATTATGTTTCCGAATACAGTGCATCATGTGTGAGTCAAAGAGATATTTTCCTGTGATCTTTGTGTTGAGTCACAGTCATAAATCACTCTTGTATATCTTAGTTGTTTGCCTATAAAAGTATGTGCGTTCAAAACAAATGTCATTTGAAGCATGTGTTTGGTATTTGGTTAGTTTTACAACAGGTTGGATATTTATGGATATTGCTGCATTGTATAGTCATGGGCTAGATAGGAAGACCTGAAACCCTGATCACTGTATATTTTTACAATGACCTTGAACATGTAAATAATTGAGTTTTAATTGACCCTGATAATACTTATTTTAACACTTGCATACTTGTTTTTATTAAAGTTAAATGTATAGTATACACAGTATAAAGAAATATGAACACATTAGCAAACATTTATGGAACAACTTTTGTTATAAGGCCTTAATAATGCTTGTGCTTGTTTCTTTTTGCTCTTTACTCAGCACATTCAGTGACATAATTGTATTTTAAGTGATGGATTATATTCCCTTTCATAATTGCACGTTTGTAAACGTTGACACCTATCTTCCTTTACTACAAATCCTGTTTGCTGAAGAGAGATTATTCCCAAACTAATATCTATAGGTGCATTTTCAGTAGATTCAGTGTCATAAAACAAGACTGGTTCAGGATTAGGGCTTGTGTTATTATTTTCTAACTGCTTGTGTTATATTTGTTTAACTGTACATCACGAATAACCTGACGCAGTAGGAAGGATTTCACCAAACATAATGACCTGATTAGATCCCTGAAGACTTCAGTGTCCAGGCTGTGTGCCTCTGGACAGACCGATGATGACCGCCTGCTCTCTGTGTGTCATCGGGTCAGGGATTTACAGTGTGAGGTAACCTTGTCATGGCAGTCACTGGCTACAATTACACGAATATTAGTATTACAATTTCTTACTCAATTAAATGATCTTCCTAATACATCAATCTGCTCCAATCAGGAAAGGTCATAACCACAGTAAGCACAACCAAGACCACACACCTGGATTTCCTTTGAATCTTTCCATTTGGGGAAACGGGTTAAACCTTTTGTCCAATCACCTATTCCTATACCTGATGCAGTTACAAACAAGCAACATAGTGCAGTGGAGTAGCACAACTTATAGCCATCATATGTTCAGTTTTGTTTGAAGCTTCGTACTTCCAAAAATTAAGAAAATGGTGTTAATTTAATTGAGTCATTGCATACAGTGTAGCTGTGTTGCTTAATATCTTGTTAAACCTTTTCAATGTAAAGAAAGCAACGATAGTGTTAGGATGAAGTTACATGGCACTTGTAAAAAAAACGTTTCCGCCGCAAAGATACTTTTATATCATGCAGATTAATATTCTCCTTATTTTAATCAATTATGGCGGTGAAACCTCAGTACAAATATTCTGTGCCACACGCTCTCTCTCTATGAAATCATGCTTAAAGAGATTTGAATGGACTTCTGCCGTCGGTACCTCCAGAGTAAATGCTATGCCACGCCCTTGAGTTTTTGCCCACCTGTGTCAGCTTGTGGTCGCGTCCCGTCCGCTGATTCAGCAAGTGAGACAGAATCAGCGCTGTAGACTTAACGTCAGGACACATGCGGCTGAAAAGAGGGAGATTGAGAACGTTGTCTGGTTACGTGATCCCTCTGGTATGTTGTGGTCACTTGTGTGCTAAGGTCTGGCAGATACATTGGTCTGCTGTTTTACTGGGCCGATACTGATCTTGTATTGATTATGGAGTATTTTCCAGTTTGAAGTCATTTCTTACCACAGCTATACAAGGAGTATTTACAGCCAAAGCCAATAGTGAGTGTTTGTGCATGTGTTACTGTGGTGTTAGTCTTTCTTCATACATTTCTAAAGAGCTCTGTGGAAATGTATTGTAAGTAAGTTGACATGGAAATATAAACTAAAGGCTTAACTTTTCTGTAAAAAGCTGCTGCCCTAGAAGTGTTACATTTCATTGTTTATTTCTTTGAAATGTTACACAAGAATAGGAATAAAACACAAACTACCTATATTTCTATCAATTTAAAAAAACACAATATTGGCAATGTAAGTCAACAAATCGCTGACATGCTGGAACACCGTTTCCCAGACCATGAGCCCAATAAGCAGCAATATGAGTAAACTAATGAATATACTGGATATTGTTGCTGGTGCAGACCCGCAGGCTGTTAAAGGGTTAAACATGCAGCTGGAAGTCTTGGGCTGAGTAGAAAAGCGCAACTATTTGGAAAGCGCTGTACAAATGAAAGGAATCCTCAGTGACCTACTTCTCTAAACGGCTGAGAGGCCACCTTGTTTTGGGACCCAGCGACTGTTGCGGCTTTATTTGTGAATTGAGAGGCAATCATAGTCAAAGGTGTCACTATCTCACTGAAAGAGCGGCGGGGTAACCTCACAGGATTGATCTTTCTCTTGAGTAATTTGGTCATTTGCAAAACTGAGCTATTTTAGTAGATTTTAATTCAGACCATACCCAAAATCAACAAGTGACATGCTTTCCATAATAGTCACTACCAAATGACCTGATAGATTTGACTGTGACTTTGTTTTTGAGGGAAAGAAAGTTTAAATGCTGGTTTTCTCCTGTGATCTTTGACAAGAGTAATTGGTAGCCTTCAGCATTTCAGTTTTCGTTATTAGGGAATGTAACTTCCTGTTTCTCCTCCCCCTCTTAAGGAGAACAAAACTTCTTTTGAGACAATCCCAAGAGGGACAACATCAGATCAAGTTGAGAGGACTTTGAAGCAGAGAGCTGTCTGAAGGACAACACACCCACACACACACACACACCACACACCATACACACACACACACACCACACACCACACACACACACACACACACACAACACACACACGGCACAGATGGGTGTAGGGTTAGTGTAAGGACAGGACAGTGGGCCTGGTGTTCTGAGTGACTAACTTTATTTTCCTGTGGTGTGCTGCATGGTTGTTTGAGCTGGAAGGAGGCAGGCAGCACTCCGATATGGACAAGCAGCTGTGTTGAAGAACCTGAAGGTGAAAGAGACAGAGCTCTGTGTTTTGGATAAGTGGCAGCAGTCATTCCTTTGCAATCCAATTCATCCCATTCCACCATGTGTCTTAATTATTGTTACCTCATTGGATGTTTGAGCCTGAGTGTGCAAGAGAAGGAAGTGCACAGTTTGACTGTTTTAAGTTAAGATATTCACACAAGTCCCGAAATTGAAATCCTGCTATCTTTTTTAGATGGAAATACTTTATTGTGCAATGGGTTTTGAATTGTATGCATTTAGATTTGTATTTTCTGTCCTTGTTTTTAGGTATATTTGCCTGTAACCTAATGATCACAAAAAGCTTTTCATAGAAATAAGTAGTAGAGATTGAAACACACTGTAACTATCTGCTCATGGCCTACTGTCTGTACAGTTTGTAAATGAGAGCTTTTTACAGTAGAAACTGGAGATCTGTTTTGGTAACATACAGTAGAGGGAGCGTGTAAATGAAAAACCTTTTTATTTACACCTAGAAACAGCAGTTCATCAGAAATGTCAGGATTATTACAGGGGTTGGGGGAGTGGAGACTTTGAATTTGAAAAGCTGTTTAAAACTAGGTCAACATTCTTTTAGACTTTCAGCTAAAAAAAACCTTTTTGTTGGAGCTGACGGGACTTGCTAGATCTCTAGTATTGTAGTGAGAGAGAAAGCTTACTTATGCATGACTGTGTGTAAGTTGATTGACATGTAGGGAAAGTCTGCGTTGTATAATGGCTGGTATTACTGAGTAGATTCCTGTTGCACTCTCTGCCTAAACTAGGTCTGATGAAAACCTGCGCTCGAAATCAGCATTCCTGGCTTAGGCGGAAAATGGTTCCGGTGTTGGGGATACTGTCTAGGAATGTGGGCACGTCAAAGCCCACTTGAGTTAGGCGCTCAGCGAGAGTTGGAAGGGGGCTTTTCCAGCGTGTGGGG